AGCCGCCGCCGCCGCCGCCGGCCGGAGCCCGAGGGAGGCGGGGGAGGCGGAGGCGGGGCGGGGCGGAGCCGCGTGGGGCGGAGCCTGGTTCGCAGGGGCTGGGCAGGGGCGGCAGTCCCGCCTCTGCCTGCGCCCGCTGCGCGGCTCGCCGAGGCTCCGCGATCGGGAAACTGAGGCCCCGGGGTCGGGGACAGCCCAAGGTCACGCGGCCCGAGACCTGAGAGATCCGCTTAGGCCTCTTTCCAGAAGTGGCAGCTAAGACCCGCGAAACGGAAGGACGCGCCCAAGGTCACCGAGCTCAGTCGCGAGGCCGGAGCCTTTGCGGGCGACCTTGACTTGACAAGGGGCCTTGGGTTCGCCTCCGTCCAGTGCTCCCGGCGGAGCAGTAACCGTCGCTGGTGAGACGCAGAGAAGGGGGGCGTTCCCGTACCAGCCTCTTTCCTTTCTACGGATTTGAGGATTTCCATAATAAAAGACTTTAAGGCCACAGAGGCCCTTGGTTTGTTCACTTTAGGGCCCTGGACAAAGCCCTCGAGTGAGAATGTGTTATGTAGGGAGTGGCAAAGTAGGGTTAATGCCGCCCGTCCCACAGTCACCCCTTCCACCCACTTCCTGCATCTGAGGAAACTTAGGCTAATAGGAAGAGCTGCCTAAGGGTGTTGACGACCCACACTCTCAAATCGTGCCCTAAACCACAGTGGGGCCTGGGGTCTCCTGTAAAGCTGCTGGGCTTTAAATTCGGGGAATGTCTGGGGTCCCAGGGGGGTTCCAGAGCCTGCTATCCCTTCCCACCAGATACCCTACCATGCTGCCCAACTTCTCTGCCCCGGCCAGTCCCCCAGCCCCTCTGCCCCAACTCTGAGAAAACACCTGAGGTTCTGTTTCTGGGGCTGGAGCCAGGTTGGTGTTAGATGACATGGGGCACAGGCCCAGGACTTTGTGCCCATCCTCCCTACCCACTTCACCCCTCATCTGAACCAGAGAGTGGGGAGGCGTGTCCTGAGAGAAGCGTGATAGAGAGAGATAGAGACGGGCATAAAGGAGAGAAAGGGAGAAGAGAAAAGGAGGGTCCCAAGGAGTGGAACATCCCAGCCTAGGACGCAGGAGCCCTGGCCTCCTGGGACCCTCCAACCTTCATGGCACTTTTCAGCCTGATGTCATATTGGGTGCCTCCACCTATCAGCATGTCCAGGCCATGAGGATGGAGATGTGACTTGTTCCTGCACATAGTAGGTGCTCAACAGTGATTGCATTGGGTCCATTTGGGCAATGGGTGAGCTGAGCAAGGCCATCTCTCGCCCCCATCAGGCTGCCGCGAGCCCGAGGAATTCCTGCTCCTTCACCAGGTGGGTCTGGCCTCCAGGGACCACCTCTGTGGTGCCCTCAGTTAGATGGGCAGGCAGGTGGGGCTGCTGTCCATCCAGAGGCAGTGAGAGGTTGGGTAGAGTTGGCAGTGTCAGCCTGTCCCCCCGCCCAGATGCGTGTTCCTGCCGAAGGGGGATCTTTTATGCTCGCCCTGGGAAGATGTCAGTCTGGGCAGGCCGCCAGAACCCTGGGGCTCGCCCTGCTGAGAGTGGGCACGTGAACTGAGGACCCACCACGTTTGGCAGTGGGGGAAGCAGACCCGAAACTGCTCGACAGGGACCTGGAGGGGACCTGTGAGTCAGAGGACCCTGGGACTTGGGGGTCTTGTCCTGAAGTCCTGGTGACTCCTCCTCAAACTACAGGCTCCACATCGGGCCAGGCTGTCACCAGCCTCCCCCTTCTCTTCCATTCACCCTACTTGCCAGGTTAGCATATTCGTTGTACTGAACGCACTCATTCATTCATGCATTCCAAAAATATTTATTAAGCATCTGTTCCAGGGGCTGGGACTCAGAGGTGAACCTAACAGGCCACCCCTCCCTGGCAGGGCTGACAGTCAAGCAGAGGAGACAGACGACCAACATTGCAAACCTTACGTTCAGTAGATATATTGTCCTTTAAAAGGTGCTAAGTGCCACACAACCACTCAGAGCCAGGAAAGGGGTGAGGAAGGTGTGGGGTGTGACATCTGGAGGCCTCAAAGAGGAGGTGATGTCTGAGTGAAGATCTGGAGCAGGGGAGGGGCAGTGTCATATGAACATCTGCAGGAAGAGTGTCTGGCAGATGGCACAGCCTGTGCAAAGGCCCTCAGGCAGGATGGCGACTGGCTTGTGCGAAAAGGGTTACTGAGGACCTAGGGGATGGGTGTAGATGACACCAAGGGACAGCAGCCTGGGACTAGACTGTGTAGGCAGGTGTTAAACTCTAAGTCAGTTTACAATGGTCTGTTGCCTAAAACTGCTCCTGACTCCCCACTGCCTTTGAAAGGAACTCCAGTCCCTCCCACCAGCCAGAGGTCTGGGCACACGGACTGAGCCTTCACTAGGCCCTGGGCCTTTGCTCCACTGTTCCCCTCACTCGAGGCCGCCCTGCAGAGCTGGTCTTGACCTCCCAGTCCCTACTTCCCACCCCTGAGAGTACCCTCTCAGCAGCTGGGGCAGGGCCAAATCCAAAGCCCTGAAGTCTGTAGTTTGGGGACCAGTGAGGGGCCCTGGATTTAAGTCTCAAGGGCTGCTTGGAAAATCCACTGCCAGACTCAAGAAATACTGAATGTCTGATCAACCATGTGAGGCAGGACCCCACATTCACCTCTGGGAAGGGGGTTGCCACGTCCCATGTCTCTTGAGTCACACGCAAAAACAGCATTGCGTGGAGCAGAGCCCTAGTGTCCACCCAAAGTAGTGAGTGACCGGCCTTAGGCGGGGCACCGCTGCCAGGGATGTCAGTCAGCTCCATGGGTTGGGGTCTCCAGTTGTACTGACCCAGGACTCACCTGGGTTTCCTTTCCCTGCGGAGCTCACTTCCTGCCAGCGCCCCCTGGTGGTCCGACAGCCCCCATCTCTAGCCCTTTCCGTTTCAAGGAAAAGCAAAGGCCCTCTTAGGGTCACGGCGCCAGAGTGGGGAAGATACAGGGGCTCTGGGAGGCCCACAAGGGCCTCCACCACAGGCCTCGTCCACACAGGGTCCCAGAGAAGCAGGTGGAGCCTTTCCAAGCAGCCCAGGGAGTGGGCCCTTTTTCGTCCAACAGTCCCTCTGCCCTGAGCAGGCTGGGACCGAGACCTCAGTAAACAAACCCTTCAAGCACTTGCCAAATGTGTTCTCATAAATCTGAGACTTGGTTCTTTGACTTCTCTATCCCACCCCCTGAAGAAACTGAGGTAGGTTTCAGCGGGCTGTCACCAGGAACAACCCCCAGTGACACTGGGCTGCTTGCTGAGTGGATGGATGGACAAGAATACCTAGTGTGAGGAAAAGACACAAGGCTGCTGGCCCAGTTACTAATTAGGTTTATTTTCTTTGTGCACAAGAACTGGACAGCCACCCACACATGGCAAACAGTGTCCCTCCCCGGGGGAGGGTTCTTTGTGTAAACCTACCAAGGAGGCCGAGTCCTGCTCATCTCCCACTCCACGCACTCCCACCTGCTGCTCTGCGCTCCACGAGCTCGCGTCCGACCCCACAGCGCTGCCTGTCTTGAGGAAGAACCCAGTGCAGCCGCCCCTCTGGCTCCAAGCCAGCAAACTCGCCCACTCAAGCCCAGGAGGGATGGGCTGACCAGGAGGGCTAGGCAAGCCGTCCCCAAAGGTGGGCCAGCTTCACTGTCACCTCGTGTGTCTGGCTGTTCCCACTGGACCTGTGGCCTGTCCCAAGAATCCCCAGCCCCAGCTATACCATTCGTACCCAATTAATGTTGCTGAGCAAACAAGTAGGCCTGTGCACCTTATGGGCCACAGAAAAGTTAAAAGTGGCGGATTCCCAGGGACCTCAGGGCTCAGGGAGGTTGGGACCCAGGTGTGTCCAGCTGGAAGGCACACAAGACCGGGCAGTAAACAAGGGGCTGTGTACTGACTTCCCTGGCCTCAGTCCCACTTGGCAGTGTGCATGTGGCACCCTCTGGTGGTAGCCAGAGGGTAGGACCGGACAGGGGCAGCCCCCCAAACCCAGGCTTGGGTTTCTGGCATGGAGCAACCTCAGTTCCTTCCTGTGAAACGAGGGGTGGCTCTCTCCAGGCTGTGGGATGCAGGGCAAAGAGCATGAGGGGAACCCTATCAAGAACCCCCTATTCTCCTCATATCTTGATAATGCTGGACCTCTTGCCAAGAGTGAAAAAAGCTGCTCCTCCTGGGAAGAGCTGGTCCAAGGCCCTCACACCCTGACCTGCTGGCAGTCTGAGCCCATGTCCAAAAGGGGAAGTTACCCAGGTACAGAAATGGGGTTAACCTGGACAAGCTCTTTTCCCCTCTCTGGCCCCGTTTCCCCACCGCACCAGGTGGGAGGCCTAGGTCGTACCTGCTAGTCCCAGGGTTCAGCATCGCCCTGTTTCCCATTCCCTCCTGCTCCCCCAGGGGTGCTCTCTTGGCCTTCGACCTGTCCACGCTTCCCTGCTGGTCGGGGTGCAGTCTGGGTGAGCAGGTGCCCCTTTCTTGCTTTCTGGCCCCGCCCCTCCTCAGCTGGTGCAATCCCAAAAGGCTGGGCTCTAGGTACACCCACGAGTCCCTACCAGCAGCAGTCACCACGGCTCACAGGCCACCCAACCAGTGTCCTGCCTAGGACAGGTGGGTAAAGGGTGCTAATCCCAGGCTGTGGAACCGGTGGGAAAGGTCCCAGGTGTTGTCCAGAGCTTCTGAAACAGCCAACGAGCACTCATCCCACTCAGACCTGCTGCAGGGGCCCTCACGGTCCCGTGGCCTGCCCACCCATCCCGCCATCACCCTTTGTCCTGGGAACGAAGCTCCCAGCCCAAGCGGTCAGCTCCATGCCACCCTGTCCTGTCCCCACCTCTGCCTCTTGCACTGAACCTTACTCTGGGCCTGAGCAAAGTTTAGCATTTGCCCTGCAACCTAACTCCCTTTCCGCAGCCACCATGCTCTTCTTCTAAGACCCGGGCCCAGCACAGACAAGAACCAAAACAGGGAGAGGTGGGTCAGCCTTTATTGGTGGGGGGTGGTTCCCATGTCAGTCAGGGCACTGTGGAGAGGGTTTCTTCAGTCACCAGGGGCACAGATAGGAAAAGGGCTGTTATAGAAACTCCCGCTCCACACAGCCCACCAGGGACCACCCCCCAGCACAGGGACCGCAGGAGCAGTGACGAAGATATCCCAAGGGATGGCTGTCCCACGTCACACAGACCTGTGGTGATGCCACAGTACTGGCTTCAGTCAGGAAGAATGCCAGGCATCGTGACCTGTGACCTTGTGAAGACAGCAGGGAAGCGGCAGAACCAAGGCCCAGCAGCCTCAAGAGGTGAGCCGCAGCGAGTCTCAGGAAAAGGCCAGTCTGCCCTCCACAGCCCCCCAGCATGACAGGCCAGAAAGCTAAATGCTGAGGGGACACGGAAGGTACGGGCTGGGGGCATAGGGAGGGGATGGGCAGAAGGGGCCTCCTGGAGAACCTCACGGCTCCCGTGGAGTGCTCTTAGAAAGGGGGGGTGGGGAACAACCCTAAGGAATGGAATTCTACAGAGAAAACCCTAGTGCAGCTGTTTTAAAAAATAGAACATGTGATTTGAATCCACAGTGTGGTCTACTTTGCAAGGGCAGGTTCCTTTAAGAGGGGAAGACTTGGAATGGTGTGAACACCTGGAACACTGGGCTCCTCCGGACAGCAACTCGGGCCTGTGCTGACTCCTCGCCACCTGCAGGGAGGAAGGCGCACTCAGACTCCATGCTGGCAGGGCAGAAGCCCCCAGAGACACCCCTCACCTTACTCACTCAGTTGGCATTCCTCTGGCGGACATTCTTGCCTTTGTCATTCAGATGGTGCCCGCTGCTCTTCCTGGGGACATGAGGTGGGGCTTTTCAGTGCTCAAGAGGACAAAATAGCCACCCTTCACCCCTCACTGCTCCAGACATAGATGGAGAGGTGTGCAGGCCGCAGCTCCTCCAGCCCTCCCCCACCCACCCCACCCCACCCCTGCCATTCAGCAAGGCCAGGACTCACAGTGGAGCAGAGCCTGTGTCCTCATCTGTGCAGACGCGCAGCCAAGTCACATGCAAAAGAAGAACAGGCATCAGGGTGGTTCCTGTCCTGCTGGGCCCTGCCCTGTGTTCTCAACTGTGCCGTGTGGGGAAAAAGGCCCATCCCTGGGACATGTACCCTCAAAATGAGCTACCTGGGGCCATAGCCTGAGGGCCCCAGGAGCTCTGCCTGCTCTCCTGGTCCACTCACAGGCAGGCCGGCCCCCCACCTGGCCCAGGCAGCTCGAGTTTCCTGAGCTTTGTCAGGTACAGTCATGGGCTCATTTGGGCCATGGCCCTCATACCCGAACAGCTGCTGTGAGGAGAGAATGAGCAGCTGAGGGTGGCTGCTCACCAGAGGACACCTGCCAGCAGTCAAATACGGCTGTGGGGGGGGAGGAGTCCCCCAGTCTCAGGTGGGGTAACCCCTGGGGAGAGGCCTGGGGACGTGACCACATAAGGGGGCTCTCTCTCAACCTGGATGGTGCCTAGGCCCTTGGTTCAAGGGCATGGGGCCAGCTCACCGTCCAGGACCTCATCCGACTTCCGTCGCTTCTCATAGATGAAGATGATGGTGACCAGCACGAGCACCTCGGCCACGATGCCCAGGAAGGGCCAGAGGGCGGCAAGGCGGTCCCGCACACGCAGTGTGATGATGGCCTGGTCAGTGCCCTCCTCGCTGGTGCCATTGCAGGCATACAGGCCGGGGTCGGTCTCCAGGTGTAGGTTATGCATGTGCAGCTCTGTCTTGGTCTCCGAGGACACCACAAACTTGTTCTGGGAGTTGTTGGTGAGGACCTGGGGACAGGTGGACCTTATAGGACATAGAGGCCCATGCCATCCCTCCAACCGCAGGCAGGTGCGACCCTCACCTGGTCCCCAGCTTCACTCATCTTGTACCACACCCAGTCGGTCACCGGAGGGAAGGACTCAGACTTGCAGGCGAGCACAACCGTCTCCCCCTCGGTGGCGTGCTCTGACTTCTTCACAGCCTTGACCTTGGGGGGCCCTAGTTGGGAGGAAAGCATGGCGGAGCCTGAGCCCCACGGCCTGGAGGAGCCTCCTTCAGTGTGTGGGCTCCTCTCGCCCCCAAAATGGACAAGCCTGTTCCTTCCAACACACTCCACGGGCCACAGAGCTCACCTCTCACGTTCACACTGGTCCTGCCTACAGACTCCGGGAGGAAGATGCAGAAGTATTGTCCCGTGCGCTCATCGGTGTCCACCCTGCAAGCAGATGGGGCTGTGAGCCAAGCCTCTGCAGTGACGGTCAGGACACCCTGTGGGAGGGTGCAGGCCGTCCATGTTCCATCAAGGAGGGACAAGGTGGTTTTGGGGACAGCGGATGGGCTAGGCTTCGCTCCCGACCTGGCACCCTCACCAATGGTCCTCTGTATTCATCGACCCCAGAAGCCTGAAAAGAGTTCTGTGTTTCCAGAGCTGGCTTGGCATCAGTTAAGACAAGGCTTCAACTCGGGTAGCGTTAAGTGCCTGAGACCTTAGTAAACCAGGAACTCTGGGACTGCCGGCTGCGGGGACCCCCGTAGTGCCCCTGTCCTGTGCCAGCTCCCAGAGAAAGGAGTCTCAGAGGCCATGACGCCTGGCAGCTCCTAGATCTTCCCTGGTTCCTGGGCTTCTCACAACCGAGGGATCTGAGCCGAGTTTGTGTCTAACATCTGTCCAATGTGATCCCAAGGATAAGTCTTCATTCTGGCTAACTGTATGGCTGTTAACAGCAAGAACATACCACAGCAAACAGGGGCAACAAGGAGCCCAGGGTGAAACCAGCTCCCTGAAATGAGCCCCCACCCCTCTTCTGCTAGGACCAGCAGGACATGGGGCCTGGGCGTCTCCATGGGCCTCACGCACTCATACTCCGTCCTCGGACTGGACTCCTTGTCTTCCTTCAGCACTCTGTCCCCCTTCTCCCAGCGGTGGCCTGTGATCACAACATCGCTGCTATTCAAGGTGCAGGTAAGGCGTGTTTTGGAGCCGTCAACAGCTACGGAAGTTGAGATCCCGCTCCCTGCGTGGCCAAATGAGAGGAGAGCAGCCAAGGGATCAGAGGAGGACAAAATCTGTGACCCCCAGCCACCTGCCCACTTGTCCCTGTAGCAAATCCGTAGTAGCTCCTCCAGAGTCACAGTGTCCTCCTGGCAGAGAAGCCACAGCCTTGTTGACAAGTCCAGAGCCTCACTGGCACATGCAGGAAGGGTATCTTTTTCGGAGTTAATGGGGCCTTGGGTCTGAAGAGCTACTGGGTGGGACGCAGGGCTTGAGGAAGGTTTTGTCAGCAAACATGGGTCTCAGATGTGAGAACCGAGGCCAATGCCCACTTGGGGGGTCTCAGCTCCGGGGCCCAGCCCAGCACAGACCCTAATTTCCTTTTAAAAGATAAATCTACCAGAGCTCAGGGCACCACTCCCTCCCTGGATGGTCTTGCACATCCCCTCTTCCTCATCAAAGCCAGCCACCATGACGGGGACAGGTGTGCTCGGCCTGCGGGCCGGGCAGCACCGGGAGATGACAGGGCCAGTGTGTTCCAGCCACCCCCAGCCTTGAAGGAGCCTTCTTCCCAGAAGGTCAAGAGTTCCCACAGCCCTATGCAATAGCCATAAAGCCATCATATAGGAGACAATCTGTTGTCTTGCCCAGGACACTGAGGGTAGACTCCCATCGGCAAAGGCCCTTGAACTCAATTTCCAATTAGGCAAATTTCCCCATTAGTTTCGGGTAGTCTCTTGAGGAACTGAAATGTGAAAAATCATCTGGTGTGGTTCAGTGGATTGAGCACCAGCCTGCGAACCAAAGGGTCACCAGTTCAATTCCCAAGTCAGGGCACATGCCTCGATTCCCAAGTCAGGGCACATGCCTTGGTTGCAGGCCAGGTCCCCAGTTGGGGACATGCAAGAGGAAACCACACATTGATGTTTCTCTCCCTCTTTCTCACTCCCTTCCCCTCTGTCTAAAAATAAATAAATAAAATTTTCAAAAAAAAAAAAAAAAAGTGAAAACCACTTAGAGGCCAGTAAGAAGCACAACAGACTAGGCATAAGCTAGGAGGGCTCTTCTTCATAGACCAGAGATGCAAGGTGAACCTCAGATCTCCTAGTGTTCAGAGAGGAAGCTAAGCAGAGGCCATGGTCCAGAGGTCAAAGGTGAGGGGAATGGAGCCTTCTGCCGCCACCGCCCAGCCACGCCAGAAGCTCACCAGCCACCAGTGAGGTAGTGAGCACATGCATGTCCCCACTGGCCCCCATCTACCTCCTGTGGGATGACTGCAAGGCAGAGCTTTACATGGAAGTGTGTTTCTCCAGGATGGTCACCTGTACCCTGGGGCCCTGGAGGCGTCCCTTCTAAAAGGCTGTGCCCACAGGATTATGCATAAAGAGATTCACGCAGAGGTGTCTAGAGTGAGCTTCTTTTCCTTTTAGTTTGTGGGGAGAAGACTGTGGCATAAAGTTAGGTGAAAAAGCAGAATACAAGGCTGTATTTGGACAATTTCTGTTCAGAGGCCACCATGCTAGGAAAGCGGCTACAAGAAACCTAGAGGTCTGGCATCCACTCAGCAGGCCTGCCCCATCTGGACCCCCACCTCCTCACTGGGGACACACAGTGACTTTTGTAAGCAAAACTGTGAAACCATGGAACAAAACACATGAAACTGGGCAGAATAATCAGAGGTAGTGACCCCCATTCTGGATGGTTATCTTAGCTGCCTGGGGCTCAGCACCAGTATAAATCAATTCCACGGGCAGCAAACCTTTGGCTTATACCTAATACGTCCAATCCAGAGGGAAATGACAGGAAATGGATTCTTCTGCATCCACTGGACAACCACACTGGATTCTCATCACGTGAGCAAAGCCTGCTCAGCCTTATCCATCCACAGAGAGACCCAGGTAGTCATTAAGGAAATTAAACCTCAAAACCTAAAAGGGCAGCAGAAAAACTGTATCCAAGAGACATTACCACTAGATTTGAAATGACCCACAGGCAGAATACACCTGTCTCCTCCTCAGCCTGAGGTCGGTGCGCCCCAAGGCTGCAGCCCCAGCTCCACACTGCACTGGGTCCCAGGGCAATAGCCCAGGGGCCTGGCACGTAGGTCCTCAGAGAGACAGCAGCGCCCCCACCCTGCCCCACTGTAAACCCGAGGCACGCAGCCCCAGCTTTCCAGCTGTGTTTCTAGTCCGGGAGGATGGGGGCCTGACCTTGGCCAGGATACACGCACAGCCAGGCAGGGCCTCTTCCTGAGTAGGCCAGTCCTCACCAGCCTACCACTAGCCACCTGTTGGCTCTTCCTTTAAAAAAAGACATGATGTCTCAGAATTCCAGGCAAGCAGGGGATGAAAAAAAAGGCTCAGACCACCCAGACAGGAAATGAATGGAGGCCTCTGGGGCTGGAGCACCCATCTGCTCCAGGGGTGTGTAGACACACACCGCTCCATGTGTGCATGTGTGGATGGTAGGGGCACACACACATACATGTACCCACACACAAATGCATGCATACACAGTGCACATGTACATGCACACCTGATCATAGTTCCCTTGCTGCGTGGAGGAGAGCACAGGCTGTGGGCCAGGAGGCCCTGGAGCCTCCAGCTGTCTGTTCTGGGGCAAGGTGGCTCTGAGGCCCCAGTAACAAGTGGACCTTCACATCTTCCCACATGGGCCGGTCCAAAGGCAACTCACAGGAGTCAGGACAGACACAGTTAAAACCAGAAGTTCCACTGCCTGACCTAGAAGCCTCCCAGTAATCCGTACTTCTCAGGAATTAAAATTTCCCAAGATTGCAAAACAAACAGCTATATGCAAAGCTGGGAGCCGTGAAGGCAGGAAGAGAGGCCAAGGCAGCCCTTCTCCCAGGTGGACCTGCCTCTCTCTATCCTAGAAGCCCCAACCCTCCCAGTGCGCTGGTCCCCTCACCCAGGGGCTGCCAGAGAGAAGGTTGGTCAGATCTTGTCCTAGCTGTACCTGCCTCCCTGCTGCAGAAAGAGGTGACTTCAAAGTGAGCCTGAAGCCCCTCAGGCAGACGTTCCAGCCGCCTCACCAAGGAGCCTCCTGTGAGCTGGCCACCATGCTGCCACGTCTCCTCATGCATCTCCAAAAGCGCCACAACGCTCCCACAGAGAGGGGATGTCCAGACATTACAATGGTTGTGGCCCTACCCCGGTCACCACACACAGAGACCTTCTACTGCAGGCGATGTCAACATCTGCGATGTTAAAATGTCACTTCAACACGGCCATTAGAAAAAAAAAAGTCTCAAAAGGCTAGAGAGGGGATGGAGAGCAATGTTGGAGAAAGGTTGAAAAACATATCCTCTAGCAGCCCCTGGACAAACTCAATGCCCAGGAGACTTGGGGTAAGCACCCCCAGAGTTCACAGGGACACAAGGCAGGAACCTCCACCTCTAGGGCATCGGGAGACCACGGGAAGAAAAGTGAAAACTCCATTTTGTGATTCTGGCCCCGTGACTGTAACCCACGTTCCCAAGTAAAGTCACCTTCATCTAAAAACAGCCACCCCTCCTCTGTGCCCACTCAGCAGCCAGGCTGGGGCACAGGGCCAGGCAGGCCTCGAGGTAAACAGCCAAGAAACTTGCAGGACGAAGCTGAAGGCACCCGCCTTCCTCCCCACCCACGGCAGCACTGCAGGGCTCAGATAGGAGCCAAAAATGTTTCAGGGATAACAGCCATGGGCTCCTTACCACTCCCCGTCCCCGCCTCCCACCGGGAGGTGGCTCCTGCTCCCCGCACCTGAGGCTCAGAGAAGCCAAGTCATTAGTTCAAGAGACCCAGGTGGAAAGCCTGTGCCCCCCCACATGCCTGGCCAGGACAACAGGACTCTGGGCAACCCCAAGGACAGCCAGGGTCTCCTGGCAGGAGAATCGATCCGGGGCCTCAGGGGACCAGGGTGCTGATGCTCAGGTGGAGGAACCTGCTCTTGACAGAGCTCCCAAAGCATTTCTGGAGCACTGACCTGGCCAGGAGGGCAAACACTGACACCAAGTCACCCCTCCCAGGCAGAAAAAGGACGTGTGGTGATGTCCTCTGAAAGACTTTCAGATCCTTCCAAGAGTCCCTAGGAAAGGGGCAACTGTCAAAAGTGAAAGAAGAGAACAGAACAGACAGGAGTCCCAGGGGAGTCAGATACGAATGAGGCAAGTGTGCAAGAATAGCCCCAAACGTACAATGGCACAGATCCTCTAGGCTTCCTGGTGGGAGCTCTGGAGAGTCACCCAGAGCTCCTGCCAGGTGCTCTTTCTGCTCTAAGGAGAGGAACAAACCCAGAAACTGTGCTCCCAGCAGAGGAAGACCCTAAGCCCTTTCACCCCAATGGCCATCTGCGGCCAACGACAGTTATCTCTAAAGGGCCCAAGCTGCCAAATGTAGCTGTGTATCTTCCAAATTCACTTTACCTATGGGCTCCTGAGTCTTTCCAGGGGGCAGTGGCAGGCAGACAGCCCTTCCCCAGAGGCACTAATAAATGGCTGTTTTGATTATAAGAAGAGAGATGCGATTGAGATAAGGTAGATCAGGGTAAGTCATTGAAGCCTGTTCAAGAGGCAGACCCTCCCGGCCCCTGCCCAGGACAGTTCACATGCCGTTCAAAGCCTGCCAGCAGCTGCCTCCCCAAAAGAGACCCAAGTCATTCTAGTCTGCACTTTGTTCCCTACATGCCGAGCACTATAAATCTTTAACCCAGAACCAAATGGGATGTCTCAATACAGGAGAAAATGTCTATGAGGCCTTCCCTGGAAAATTATACCTTAATCAGTTTCTTATGAGTATTCTCTAAACCGCCTCTGTTCACCCCAAAGAAGAGCTCTAAAATTTAATGCTGTTTGATGGTCTGCAAAAATTTTCTCCATCTCCTGCTCTTTACTGGGTGGCCAGGGCGACCTCACAGTGACCTTGGAATATTCCAACTCCCCTCCCAGGCCTGTTACCACCCCTGTAAAAGGAGGTGGGTGAACTAGACTCCGCCGTCTCATCTGTGCAGGGAAATCAGAAAAACAGGCAGCAGAGCGTGTTGGCTTCCCTACAAGGGTTTAAATTTAAATGTTTGTGCTAACACCAGGAGCAGGTGCATACCCAGAGCAAGACTCGGGACCTAAATCCCGGCAAGAATGACAATCCCTGCCAACTCCAAGGCTGTCCGCCTCAGGGACACTCACGTGCACTTCCTTCCAGCGTTTACTTGAGGGGGAAAAAACCGCTTTCCAGATGAGAGGCAAGGGCCCCGGGGAGCCCATAAAGCCCTCCGCCGCACCTCTTGCCCCAGCACACCCCGGGCCGGCGGTGCAGAGGCCACCCTCAAGCTGTCTCCCCAGACTCTTGGGCCGACGTCCAAAGGGGGCGCTGTAGGACACAACTGGGTAGTCCTTCCCTGCACGGAAAGGGTGGCGGCCGCCTCCAAATCCTCTCCCCAGGTACCCCAGGAGTCAGGCCACTCCCGGACCCCCGTCCCTTCCCCAGGTCTCCGAAAATCTGGGCCTTCACCTCCAAAAGCTCATCGTACCCTCCCAGTCTCCCGTGCCGGGGTTTCCCTACAAAGTATCTCGGCGGTGAGCGCCGTGGGTGCCTCCTAACCCTGGGGTTACCGCCCCCGGAGCTCCTCGGTAACCCCTCCACCCCCGCCGGAGGGACCCCCGAGGCCGGGCCCGCGCCCCGCCCGGCCTAGTCCTCACCCGCCCCGGAGCCGCTCTCGGCGCCCAGCAGCGCGAGCCCTAGAACCACGACTAGCGCCGTCGCCATCTCGCCACCGCCGCCGCCGCAAACCGACGCCCGCAGCGCTGTAAGAACCCGGAAAGCGGGCCGGGAGCGCGCGCGCGTAGGGTGGGGCGCGCATGGCCCGCCGGCCACCGCCTGCGCACGCGTCAGAGCGCACGTACGCACGCACAAGCCTTGACAGGCGTGCGCTAAAGGAGGGACGGCGACACCACGTGACTTGAGCACGCCCTGTGACCCGGGGCGTGGCCACGTTGCTAGGAAACAGGGGTAGGGCCTTCACTTGTTCAGTGTTACGTGAGACCTAAAGTGACTTGGAAGTTGTTAAAATGCTCAATTTATATCATGTGTATTTTACCACAATACAAAAAAAAAAAAAAAAAGCATTAAGGGAGGCCATAGGGATCCCTGTCAACAGATGGGATATGTCCCCTGGGGCAGGTGGGCGCTGCCAGATTTAGCAAATAACAATACCTGGATGGCAGTTAAATTTGAATGTAAGGTAGGAAACGAATAATGTATTAGTGTAACTATCCCATGCAATATTTGCACATAGTGGTGCAATAAAAGTATTTGCTATTTACCTCATATTCACTATCTGAAATTCAAATGTAATTGGCAGTACTGTATTTTGTCTGGAAAACCTACTGAGGTCTCAATGTTTTTCAACAAATACTTTTTCAAGTTACAAAATAACTTCAAATAAAAACAGGGTAATGTAATCTTTGTGACCTTGGATTAGGCAATTATTTTTTATATATGACACCCAAAGCACACACAACAAAAGAAAAAATAAATTGGACTTCATCAAAATAAAATCTTTTCTGCTTCAAAGAACAGCAAGAAAGTGAAAATATAACCTATAGTATGGGAGAAAATAATGGTTAATCATGTATCTGATAAGGATATATACTTAGAATATATAATGTGTATATATACACTATATATATACTATACAGTATATATACTCTATATAGTATATACTAGGATATATAATGAGCACTTAAACTTAATTTAAAAAGACAATAACCCAATTAAAAAACAGACAAAGGAGCCCTGGCTGGTATGGCTCAGTTGGTTGGAGCATCTATCCCCTTACACGAACAGGTTGAGGGTTCCATTCCCAGCCAGGGCACCTACCTAGGTTGCAGGTTTGATCCCTGGGCAGGATGTTGTCAGGGTGTGTATGGGAGGCAATAACTCCATGTTTTTCTCTCACATAGATGTCCTTTTTTTCTCTCTCACCCCCTTTCTCTCCCTCTAAAATCAATAAACATTTTTTAATTAAAAAATATGATCAAAGGATCTGAATACATGTTTCTCCAAAGAAGACATGCAAACAGACAAAAAGAACATGAGAAGTGCTCAACGCTGTGAACCATTGGGGAAATGAAAACCAAAATTACAGAGAAATACTACTTCACAGCTACTAGGATGTCTGTAATAAACAGGCAGGTAATAACCCAGGCTGGTGTGGTTCAGTAGACTGAATGCTGGCCTGTGAACTGAAGGGTCGCTGGCTCAATTTAAGGACCAGGTCCTTGGTTGAGGGCATGTGAGAGGCAACCAACAGATGTATCTCTCACATACTGATGTTTCTCTCCCACTCTTCCCCCTTTCCCCTCTCTCTAAAGATAAATAAATAAATGGAGAAGGTGAAGAAAGTAGAGTCCTTATGCACTGCTTGTGGAAATGGTGCAGCTGCTGTAGAAACCACCCCAATAGTTAAACACAGAGTTACCATCTGACCCAGCAATTCCAGTCCTAGATATATGACCACAAGAACTGAAAACTCATATCCACAGTCTAAAGTTCATTACCACCAATTAAATGTCACCAGGAGTCCCCAATTTGGGGTGGTGTGCAGGGGTGAAGCGGGGAAGACTTAAGCAGCTCAGGGTGGTGGTTCAGGTGTCACAGCTCTGGCCAGGGAATCCACAGTATTCAAAGGGAATTGAGAATACACTCCATGAAAACACGGGGTAAACTGACTTATATAGAGAGAAGTTTCCACCCCTGGTCCCTGATTGGTCAACTTCTATGCAGATGAAGGCTCCAAATATTCACAGTTTGACTGGTCTAAATAGCACCATCCTGATTGATTGAAAAGGAGATCTTCTGATTGGTCAGTAAAAACGCAAGTGAGTATAATGCTGCACAGATCTGATTGGACAGGAAAAGTCTCAGTCCTGTGGGTCCAATTTTGATTCTAGGAGCTCACTTATAGGGATGACTCAGCAGGAAGGAGCATAGTGCAGGAGGCTCTCAGGTCAATCTGTGGCTTTTCCCTGTTATGCACCTTGTATGAGAGGCCTCTGTAAACAACAGCTGTTAGACTCTGGTTATGAATTTGGGCACACTTAACCGCAAGGAGTCCTTCTTAGAAGGCATTTTATTTCTTAGGGTCAACACTTGCATATGAACGTTCACAACAGCAGGATTCAAGAGAGCCAAAAAGTGGAACAACCCTAATGCCCAAACACGATGTGTCCGTCCACACACTGGAATACTACACAGCCATGAAAAGAAGTAAAGCACTGACATGACATATGGATGAAACTTGAAAACATGAATGGTCATTGAGAGAAGGCAGATGCAAATGGCCACACGGTGTTTGATTCCATTTATGTGAAATGTCCAAACAGGTAAATTCACAGAGACAGAAAATGGGTTAGTGGTTGCCAGGAGCTGGGGAGCAGGATAGGGAATAATGGTTAATGGGGTTTGGGTTGCTTTTCAGGGTGATGAAAATGTTCAAAAATTGATTGTAGTGATGGATACATAGTTCTGTGAATATACTAAAACCCACTAAACTATAGACTTTAAATGGATGAATTGTATGGTATATGAATTATTTCAATTAAAAAATAGCGTGATGTGAGAAAGGGGGGATTACTTTGTATAAGGGGTCAGGCAGCTCCATGCAGGCGATGACGTGTGAGGTGAGACAAGAAGGAGGAGGAGGCAGAAGCCATGGGAAGGAGTGAGCATTAAGTCTGAGAACAGCCTGTCAGGTGGAAGCAGCGTCCAGGGAGGAGGCTGGTCAGAGCTCGTGGAGTCCCAGCTGCAGTGGACAGCCAAGGCAAAGGCTGGAAGGATGCAGCAGAAAGGCCAGATCTTGCTGATAATGGGACTGAAGGGCTAGGATTTCACTCCTGGGAGACCCAATCTCAGGGCCTGGGAGTCCCAGAGCTAACCAGAAGCCCAAATCCCGGGGCTATAGGGCTTGACAAGGCCTCAAGGCCACACAGATGGGGGTGGAGACCTACTAGAGCTACGTGCAGAATGAGGGAGGAAGACAGCCAGCTGGCTTCAAAGCCCTTACAGCCTGGGAGGGTGGAATTTCTCCCATCCTGCACCCCATGCCGTCCCTAGGCTGGGCTGAGGACAAAGCTCTTGGGAAATAGCCTTTGCTTTTGTTTACCAAAAAAGCTCAGCCTCCTACAAAATGAAGACCTAGTTTTCTGGTCCCCTCCCTGGAAAGCCAGCCTTGTCCCCTTTCATTGCCCATATCCCTGCTCTGCTTAGTCCCGGCCCCACCCAGGGGCGGGAGGGTCTGAGACCCCTCTGCTTCCAAGAACAGGGCTTCCAGGGCCCCTTCAACAAGGGTTAGCAAATAAAAATACATGACACCTAATTAAATTTGAATATCAGATTTTTTAAAATCTGTAAGTTTTAAGTATGGGTATATACACAGAATCTGGAATATAGTTAGACTAACAATGTTATCTGTTTTATATCTGAAATTCAAATTTAACTGGGCATCCTGTATTCTACCTAGCATCTCGAACCCAGTTGAAAACAGCCTGGCAACATCCTCCTTTGTAATTGTCCTTATTGTACTGGTCACTCTCTGACCTTGTATGAGGTCAGGGACACACCACCTCACCTGGGCTCCTGCTGTGTGTCCCTTGGCACATGGCAGCTGCCCCTACTTAGCTGTGGGTGACCCTTACTCACTCACTGTTGCACCCTGGCTTCTGATGCCTGCACCCTCTCTGGGACAGATCTGGACTTCTTCCTCCAACAGAGGACAAGGCGAGCAGCTCTCTTGTCTAGCCTGTCTCTCCAGCTTTGCTCTGGGCAGTAGACAAAGTCTCCCTTGGTTAAAGATGGCCAAGAAGGAAGGCAGGGGAGCCCTTCTTTCTTTGTTCCAGCTACTCTTGCAGAAAAAGGAACAGCCAGAGACCTCTCAGCATCCCTCAGCCTGGGCCAGCTGACTTGTTAGACCTCAGGCACCCTCCGTCTCTCCCACGCCTTTGGCTCCAGCCTCACTGGCACCATTTCCTGCTTCCGAGCCTTTGCTTGAACTGTGCCTGCCGCCAGGCACGCTCTTCCCAGGTTATTGCTTGGCTCCTTCCTTACGTCACACTGGCTGCCTCCTGGCAGAGCCCCCTCCAGGCCGTCTTATCTCAAGTGCTTACTCAGGATACCACCAACCACTGTTCTATTACAGGGTATGTTGGCTTTGGCTTGTTTGCTTCCTATTTTTTCTTATAAAACCTTTCAAACTCACAGACACAGGGAGAGAAAAGGGCACAGGGTTTTTATTCTCTTCATACCCACAACATCCTAAAATGTTGCAGCATAACTCTCTATGTGTATGTTTCTGAAAGGGCGGAGCTTTGAAATCCAACCCCTCCCCAGTACTGACTGAGGGGTGGGGTGAGGGAGTGTGGATTTTATTCTCTGGGCACTAGGGAGCCCTGGGAGAGATTTGAGGAACGGAAGGTGATCATTGCCTGATGTGTGTTGTAGAGAGATGTCCGGGAGCCAAGGGGAGAGGGGCCTGGGGGAGGTCGGCAGTGGTCTTGGGTAAGGGACAGGATGATGCTGTGGGCTGAATGGTCACCCCCAGAGCCTGTGAATGCAGCCTTATTTGGAAAAATGGTCTTTGCAGGTGTAATTAAGTTAAGGGTCTTGAGATGAGGTCACTCTGGATTAGGGTGGGCCCAACAACGGGTGTCCTTATAAGAGACAAAGAATGAAACACAGACATAGAGGATAAACCACCTGAAGGCTGAGACTGGGGGACCTTTCACAAGCCCAGGGACACGGGACCCCCCAGAAGCTGGAAGAGGCGGGAGGATCCCTTCCCTGGAGTCTTGGGAGGGAGCCAGGCACTACCAACGTATTGATTTCCAACCTGTGGCCCTAGAAAGGTGGGGGAGTAAGTTTCTGT